CTGCCAACCATGAACTGTTCTCCTCTGCCAAGCCATCCTGCCTTGGCCCCAACTGATTATGGACTTAACACCTCTACAAACTGTGAGCTACATAAATATTTCTCCCTTTTCTTTGGGGGTCAACTATTTTGTCTCAGCAATGAGAAAAGTAACTAAGACATAGGGAAACCTTGACAAAATGGAAGTCCAAGATGGTAACTTTCTATAACAAAATGAAAGGCAAAGTAGATGTTGTTTCTGAGTTATATAAGTATGATATCACTAGAAATACAAAACATTGGCCAATGTTTGTGTTTTCCTTTTTCCTAAGTATGCATGGCATAAACAGTTTGTTAGTTTAAAAAAAAACAACAAATGTGAAATTTTGTGGATAATGTTTTTTAGAGGATTGGGACTGGAACTCATATAAGAGATCATTTACAACAGAGGAAGAACAAAATGTTTCTTCTCAGGAACTACACATACAAAATTGTGGAGCACACTGGTGAGCTCACAGGTGAATAAGCAGTGTTCATGACATCTGCATGTTCCATGCAGAAGCATATGTTATACTGATAGCACATATATTTTGTTTTCCTGTCCTTTTAGTAGGGCATAGTTGACATCATATTGGTTTTCCTACTGTTGTTGTAATAGGTCTTTGTGATGTTGCACCTGACTGTTCACCTGTCAAGAATTTCTTTGGTAGTATTTTGTTTGTACTTACATTGTAGTTCACATAGGTTTTTATTTCTGATGTTGCCTTTTAGGTTGTAAGCACGTAAACAGCTGATATGAAAGCGTTGATTTCTATTCTAAGCACTTATTATATATTTGATATTTTATTTTGATATCTTATTTTCTGGCTAAGTGCATGTTACACAATATAGTAGGAAGCTTCTGACAAAATAGGAAGAGAAGAGAGGTAACAAGAATGGCCTGCTATGGACTCTTAGTGCTTATATTATGTGATCAATTTTGCATGCCTATACCTGGTAATCTGAGCAACTAATTTGAAGATAACAATATGCAATATAATAATCACTCTTAATTTCTTATAATTTGTTTTGAAATTCTGTATCCTTTTTATTGTTTTTTGGGAGTCTCTTTAAAATAAAATAAAATAAAATAAAAATTAAAAAAAAAAGAATGGCCTGCCACACTGGACAGGAAAGCCAAGCCCAAGTGCTGTCAGTGTAAGTAAGACTCACATATGGAACACGGAACAGGTAGTTGTCATGTGTGAAGACTGCCTTAGGTGTGACAACTGAGGCAAAGATTTTTGTGGTAGAGTTATATTTGTATTTTCATTGAAATTCATATAGGAATTTATTTCTATTGCTATTTTTTAAGACTTTGTACACCAAAAAACAGTAGATGTTAAAGATTTTGATGTTTTTTAGAAATACTCAATATTAAAAATTTAATACTTTTTGATATTTTTCTTGTTTAAGCTCATTGTTTAATATAATACAACTCATAAACTTAAAATTAACAATTCATCAACAGAAATATTCTGAAGAACAAAAGTGGGTAGTATACATCCAGCACAATGCTCTTTTAGTACAAAATTGGTGCATGCCCCTGCCAGAACATTCCATGGCGCCAGTGTGAAGGTACTTCCTGTGTGAAAGCTCGCATGTCTCTTCCTTCATAGGAATGAAGTACCTATGGACTCCAACCAAAGCAAATGGGTGAAGGATACCGGAGGACCTTTTCCTTGGTGACACTCTGTAGAACAGAAGTTTCTCCTCCTCACATATCCCACAGTTCTGAGAGGGGACAATGTGTTCAGGGACTATTTTTGAATTGAAGAGGTCAAATTTGGTCTTCTGTGAATTACTATGTGATAACATAATAATAGTAATAATCATGGCCCGTGTTCCTTGATTACTTTAGATATGTTCTCAACTATATGCATGGATCATCTCACTTAAACCTCATAAACATATTGTGCACAGATACTATTATTATCTCCCTTTTATAATTGAGGAAACTTAGGCTAAAAAATTTAGGTACTTTGTCCAAAGCCAAAGAGCTAAAGATGAGCCTGCTAAAGTTTACTTTTTTTTTTTTTTTTTGGGTTTTTCTCCGGTACCGGGAACCGAACTCACGACCTTGCACTTGCCAGGCAGGCGCTTTGCCGCTGAGCTAAATCCCCAGCCCCGAGCCTGCTAAAGTTTAAACCTGGAGTTCCTAAAGAAAATTATGTTAACATTCTGTCAAGGAGAGGACAAACTGCCAAAATATGGAGAAATCAAATGCTATTACTACAGCCATGTCTATGTGTTTATTTGTATCAATGTGTTATGATTTTGAGACTTGAATTCTTGGAAAACTTACTGGTTTAGACAAGAAGGAAGAAAATTACTATTTCCTGGTACTTAGCAAAGAATATCCAGTACTATATATGATTACTTCCTTAATAGAGTTATACATATGCTTGTGAGTCACAGACCAAATGATTAATCAGTCACATGTTCACTGAGCATCTACTGCCTGACTCTCTCAGAACCATTTTCCCTGGATACCAAAGCAGCACATATCCAGTATGGCCTGACTTAATGAGGAAAGATGAGTTATTATAAAACACAAGTGTTTTACCTGCTGATCTCTTAAGATCAATATTTTACTTTATGCTCTTTTATAATTTAAAATTTCCTAAAGAAACAAATGAAAATGAAATAATTAATGTACTTATATTACACTAAAATGATCATATACCCTTTAACTCCCCAAGTTACCGCTCAGCTCTTTCTTATCATTTTATCTGCTCCTCTTGAGCTAATGGCAGTTGCTATGTGCCATGTTAAGATGCCACTGGCTTTCTGATCTTGGTGACTTTAGCAGTGTTGAAAAGAACCTACGCAGGAGCTGATTAGCCTGATCTTCAGTGTGTGTGTTTGATCTCTCTTCTGATATCAAAAAAAGGAATGAAAAAGTAATATGGATTAAATATAGTTCTTTGAATGTCAAATAGGTATACGATTTTTGAGCTTGCCAAGTGTTAATTGGTCTCTTCCCTGGTGATACAAATAAAATTCACAGCCAATTAGTTTTCAGTCATGAATCTTTACTCCTTGACAAACTGAACTACTTTGTTGAGGAGACTGAAAAAAGTGAAGAATACCAGGGTCTCCTCACTCCATATCTGTGCAGGGACCAGTTACATTTAAGAAAGTGAAAATAAGGCTATGGATACTCATACCATTTGTTATATGCTTTGGTTTAACAGAAGAGATAAGCACTAAATTTTAGAACTACAATGGAGGAGACAGATACACTGTTGTAATCATCAAAGGGAAATACTGAAGAGAGAAGAATTTCTGCATTTTTAGTTACACTAAATCATACCATGTCCTTTGTGCTGGAAGATAAAGATAGTGTTGGATGGAATAACCATAGTCATGACTATGATAAATAAATCATGATAAATGCTGGAGAGTGCCAATGGCATGTCAATTACAAAGCAAAAAAATAGCTCTCTTTTTTCAAAGCAAAAAAAATTATTTTAATCCTTTGAGTTTTTTAATGGACTCAAAGATATGCACGGCTGTCACAGAAAGTGGAGTCATTTTATAAGTAGCTTGCCAAAATTAGCAATTAATTTGTTATTAATATTAATTTGGAAGAAACAATCAGATGTTTGATTTTGTTTGTGTGGGACTAAATACCTATGAAGATTTCTACCTTTTTCAGTCTCCTTAAGACTGACAAACTATGAGAAGTCAAACAGTGAGTGCATTATTAATTATTAATCACTTTTTGAGCAATACGGTCAGTATTATTTTTCAAATTCATGGATGGGTAAAAAAATCAGCTGATGGGCCGGGCATGATGGTAAATGCCTGTAATCCTAGCACTCAGAGGCTGAGGATGGAGGATCTCTGTAAGTTCAAAGCCAGCCTGAGCTACACAGTGAGTACAAGGCCAATCTGAACTGCATAGAGAGACCTTATCTCAAAAAGACCAAAAAAAAAAAAAAAAAAAAAAAAAAAAACCCACCAGCTGACCCATAGCCATCATCCCAATGCATAGACCCGAACTAAAACAACTGGCATATGCTTCTTTCCACATATACAATGCAGGCTATACATTCCACAAGACTTGGGGTGTTTGGAGGCTAACAAGACCACCATCAATTTGGCAGCTATACCATCTATCAAATTAAAGTGTGCCTGGGTCTGCAGGACTTGGGGCTAGGAAGGCAATCATGCTGGCTACATAGAGGGATGTCTCCTAATACTCACATAAAGGGTAAATTGTTTTAGAGTTTAGGACTATTTGTTAACAAATGAAAGTCACAGTGTTAGTTCCCCTCAACAGGATGCTCAGGCTGGTGAATGTCTCAGGCTCTCCTGGGAGTCATGTAGGCAGATTCCCCAGAGACAGGCATTTTCAGAGGGCACTGCATCATCTGGTACTGATGAAAAGTCCTGGTATGAACCTGATTTGTAATACTTCATTGGCAATAAACAGACCTTGTTTTAGCAGAAAAAATGAAAAGGCGGAGTTTGATGGAAAACTTACAGGATGAAACTAATTGACATTCATTACTACTAATATATGTTGGAATGAATATGGCTTTTAGGTTAAGTCCATGATTATATCGCAAACCAGGAAATACACAAGAGGCTCACGGACACAGATACTGCACATACACACAAATCTTACATTAACAATTTTTTTTGCATATTATCAAGAACAATAATAAAACTGCCAGCACAGTAAGTCATACCATCTTCCTCTATAAGTGCCAAATAAAACAGTATTCCTGATTTCTTGAAAGAAAATGACAAACTAAACCAAGCTGCCTGTGGCTTTGTCCAGTGGGACATTCTAATTGACTTCCAAGTCATTAATCAGCTCCCAATCAATCTATTTGCCAGCAGCCGGCAGCTAGGATTCCATTACCAACCATTCATCTCGCCATGCCCTAATCTACTGCGCCATTAGCTATGGGTTAGGCCTCTGTTAGAATAACTAAGTGCCCACTGCTAAATGCAAAGAATTTTCGTCACCTCAGCCACTGGGATCCCTTCAGGTGGTCGACACTGGAGTAAAACTTCCTGTTCCAGGGACACTTCCTTTCCCAGGGGTTCCTGCTCAAAGGTCTTCCGTAGATCTGAAAGGCACAGGTGATAAAATATATGTCAAAACTAAAAATCATTTACCTATCTATAAAAAGTGCATAATTTTTTCTCAGTTTAGTATTTTGTGTCTTCGTATTTTTTAAGTCACAGGCAGTTAGTACTGCCTCAGAATCTGGGTGGCTGCATTCTACCTGGTGGACATTACGAAGCAACAAACTGTACCTCTTTTAAACTTCAAGAGCAATCTCTGGAGATCCTCACTTAACCACCAGTGAAATTCCTTCATTATACTTCCTTAGTATTTCTTGATAATCAACCATGGTGGTCACATTTTAAACAAAGGAACCCCATTCTCATGATTCTCATACACAGAGTTGCTCATGTACATGAATATTTTCCTCCTTTCTCACCACAGACACTATTAGAGTTGTAGGAACTCCTGAATCTTTTGATCAATAAATCAAAAGCAAGCTTCTGTCGCAGGGTGGAAAGAAAAAGCTGGAGTCTTCAAAGAATGAATACAACTTCTTGAAATGCCTCAAATCCCAGGCAGAGGAGTTAACTCCTGAAAAGAATCCAGAAATAACTCAATGTCTAATTATGAGGCCATTCTTCACTTAGAATGTTAAGTAGCTGTTTCCATTCACATATACCAAGTATTTAATCATTGCTTATATATAGTAGTTAGAGAAATATGCAGCAGAGCTTTAGAAACTATTGTGGATGTACACAAAAATGTTAGAAACTAAATCATTTAAAATACTCAGAGGCACATGCTTCAGGACAGTTTTAACCAAGCCATTATTGAATGCCATATAATTATTTTGTCTTTATTGTTTAGCTTCAAACTTTAAATCAGTTTTATCTAATTTTTTAAGGTTAAAAATTTATTCAGAGAGTTTCAGAGCAGCATTTATAAAGCCCACAAAATTTTGCTTTTGTACACACACAGTTCAGTTCTTTCCAATGAACAGTTATTGGAATTTTATCCAATGAATTTTAATAAAAAATAAATGCCTCTGTCCTTTCATTCCATGTCCCTGATAAAGATACAAGAATCTGAAAGTACTGCTTCAGCCCACTGAACCAACAAGTAGAAACCCAAAGACTTTTGAGGTAGATCCCTCATTGGTCCCTTCCAGTAAAGCACCACCTAGAAAATGCACTGAGAAAAAAAAATAAGATTGCTAGACATTTGTCATTTTGTTGAATTCTGTGGCAGAAGAAGACTTTAGAGGTGTAAGAAAATCATAGATCTTTGTGGGTTTGACAAAAGACAAAAGGCTCTCAAAAAATAGTGACAATTTCTGTCAGAAAGGTGTCCTTAACCTGATTACTAAGAAATTGAGAGCCTTGTAGAAATGAATATATAGAATCCACAGCACCACCATAACTTTAAAGTTACCTAAACCATGTCTTTGTTGTACATATGAGAACTGCGTTTACCAAATTATCAGAGCCTCACAGAAAAATACCTGCTGCTGCCCTGGAACCTACTGACCCTTGATTTTAAGCAACTTGTCATCTCATGTGTCCCACTACCAACTCTGCCCTTCTAACTGGAACATGAAAAGTGTTTTTTCTAATACAGTAGTTTTTAACTACTTCTTGTTTTACCTGCATTGAGATAAAATTTTGTAAAACACCAGTTACCAATAAAAAGGACAGCAATGAATAACTTTCCTGGGACAACTGGGATAAAATGCTAATGGCAGGGATATCACGTTTGTGCAAAATGACTCTGAAAGATTCTCATTTGATGTGAGCTGAGGTGAAGACATGACTGGACTTAGTTCTCAAATTAAATACCACTCTGATTCACTCAAATTAATCAGAATACCACAAAATGAAGCTATGAATAAGAGAACATGAGGTATATGTCACAGAAGTTCCATTTAATGTATATTAATTTTCTCCTCAGGGTAGATATTTCACTACTTAGGATAAAGACACGTAAGATCTAGAACCAAAACTTGAGAAGTTAAAGTTGATCTATGATAACCCTTCTGTGGTAAGGAATGGCAAAGCCTCCAACAAAGCCTCCCTAAGCAAAGGAAGAGACCAGATGCCACCATCTTGCCTTGTGTGAAGGCAGTCAGGAATCCATTTGAATAAACCAGGAGGATGGTGGGGCCCTAACCCCAGCTAGGGTTAGTGGATAAGCAAACTTTAAAGCTAAATAGATCATATCTTCATGAAGACCTAGGTATTTGGGAAGTACCAGGAGGCCAGAATATTGCTATATTCTTAGCTACCACATTTTCTGTCAATCTGGTTTCAACTTAAGTGAAATATTGCCAAGTTGGTCAAGAAAGGCCACAACTTTATTTTGGTACGTATTCAGTGTAATATGTCTACAGGTATTCAATTAGAAAAGTCAGGAGATGGAGACCATGGTTTCTAAACACGGATACTATGAGCTTTGCAGACAGCACAGTTTTCTTCATTCAGAGATTGCTCTTTCCACAGCAGGATGCTCAGCAACGTCCCTGGTCTCTACACACTAGATGCCAGTGAAACCCCTCCCTGACATGACAGAACAAGTGCCTGCCACCAGTGGTAAATGTTGCAGCCCCACTGAGAAACACCGGTTGAGAGCTTGAAAGAAACCCCACTAGCATTCTCACAGCTTGGAGCTGTGGGACTCGATGACATCATGGGGGTAGGGGAGGACTGCAGTAGAAAGAAGAGGAGGACACTGCCACAGAAGACAGTCTGCCTGGGAAAATGACATACAGTGGACAAGGAGGCAGGAGAAGAGCTGAAGAGATAAATATCAGATGAACGAGAAGGAAAGAAAAATGTTCAGACGTGGGGAGGTCCACAGCACAGGTGCAGTGCGGATTCAAAAGGGAGAAGCCTTGGTTTGGAAATGTAGGCATACATAGGAATGGGGCAGACCATCCTGAGGACCTCCTACTCTCTTCCAAAACTTCATGGGCTAGAAGTCAGTGGCACCCCCATGGGGCAACGGGTTTGGGTGTAGAAAGCTGTGACACTGATCAGGGCATGGCATCGTTCAGGGCACAGTTTTCAAGTTCCCTCTGTAGGAAGGCACATGGTATGTCGTCCTTGTTCCTCCCTGAGGATGGTGACCACAAGGGGCACCTACTTGAAGAGCCAGACTTAATTAAAACCATCATTAAATATTGTATCATTACTCTGTTTTCATCACTTGGTTTTAAGCCTTATATAAAGTTTATCTAATTTCTAAAGTGATCTCACACTTTACCCCCTACAAGGCAATACTTCTTCCTGAAAGAACTTTTAAAATTCTGCATAAAACCTCCATCCTCTCTCTTGGGTGTGCAATGAGCAGAGGATGCATGGCTGGGTGCACAGCAGCTGGGTGCACATGTCAGTGTGCATCTCCGTCCCTCTGCCCTGCTCAGGAGGCTGGGCCTCAGCTGAGCACATCCTTTATCATTTGGCAAGAAGTGATGCAGGGCAGGCCGGATGCCTTGCAGGCAGAGGGAACACAAGGGTGATGAATGAATAAGCAGGAGAAAGGGACACTTGTCAGCTAGCAGTTAGATGTAAAACAGAATGGTTCCGAATAATCTAGGCATTCTTGTCAGGGAAAAAAAAAAAGATGAATTTCTGCCCTTGGAAGACCTTTAGGATTCCATTTCTATTTTCTTTCTAACACTTCTAAGGCTGCAGCTAACATAAGTATAAAGACCTTTCATTATGACCTAGATTGCGTTTGCAAAGTTGGCCTAACTCTGATTTAGTTATTGATTCTACAAATTTAAAAAAAAAAAATCAGCTTTGTCATATACATGCATTCAGAGAGACATTTACTCAGGAGCATGGATATTGGCTGACCAAATCCATACGCTGAAATCCAATTAACAGATGTTGAATCAGACCCAAGATGGTATGGATTTCTATTACCCATTTACCCACAATCAAAAAACGTCATTTGAACACACACATGTCTGAACACAAAGGCTTATTTTTCATTGTAGAATTTTGATGCTCTCAATGATTTTTTGCATAATAATATTGTGGTAGAAAATTATCTGTCATATGGAATACAGGAATACTGTATTCCAATTTATGCCATTTTGCCAGCACTATCTATTCCTCCTTTTTGACAACACAGTTGACAAAAAAGAAGGTGAACTAAGAGATGCAAGACTTTTTGGACTTCACCTTTCTCATTTGGAAAATGAAAATAATAAAAACTAAATGCTTTTGAAGGACTCTTTTCTATAAGGGCCTATGAATGAATAAGATTTTAAATATGCAGTGTAGGGGAAACAAGCTTATCCTTTGTGGAATGAAGTAATTCTTGGTTGTAATTATCCATGTCGAAGAAAAGTAATACATTAAAGTATCTTTAAAGTGTAGGAGTTGATGCATCTTAAAAGACCTCACTCTATAATATGGCCCTCCGGACAACTATTCACAGAACTTTCCAACTCTTGAGTCTACAGGTTGGGAACAATTAGAAATGGGCAGGGTAGGTTCCAGAAGATTGAATGTTAAAAATTTCAGCAACTTTCTTGCACACATTCAAAAGAGGGACATAATATGCTTTGCCGTCTTAGTTACATTTTCACAGCTGGGACACAGTATCTGATACCCACAACCTGAAGGAGAGAATTGCATTCTGGCTCACAGGGCAGAAGGCATAGTGGGAGCCTGGGGAGGCCAGCTGCTCCTGCCACGATGACCAGAGAGCAGAGAGTGGAAGGAGTGCCAGGGCGGGAGTCGTGCCCATCCGGTCCTCCCATAGTGACCACGTGTGATGGACTCACTCCGTGCAGCTCCCCCACGATCCTATCACTGCCCCAAAGCCCCACCTGTGAGCTTATGAGAGGTTTTTTACACATTTTTTTAAAAAACCAAATTTTCATAACCAAGTAATAAGAGAATTACAAATTATTATGCAATAATTGTATTGCCAAGAGAATTATAAATGATATAATCATCAAAGTAGTTATTCAGTACACAACATAAACCAAGGATTCTTATCAACAAAGATAATGCCAACTTTCTTTTCCACAAACTAAGATAAACTGTT